TGAATGGCAGTTCGATCCTTGATTGGCGGTTCGATCCTTGATTGACACTTCGTTGATTGGTTCCCTTCAACATTGTGAAAGGTAGGCTCCACCTTTTTTGTTTCGAGAAAACCGGCGAAACACATTGAGTGTCAGTTCGATCCTTGATTGGCACTTCGTTGATTGAGTTTGCAGCCCGTCAGGGTTGCGTTTTCCCGCCCTGAGACATTTCAATGTCAATCAAATTTCAACGTCGGTGGTCGTCGGGAGGGTGGGCATATTGAGGTTTTGGGGCCTTGCAAGGGCCAGGACCGCATAGGACTGGTAGCTGCGCGCAGGAGGCTGAGGAGGCCAGGGTCCTGAAGCCTTTTTCGACATCGAAACGGTGGGGGTGCACTTTTCTCGAATAGCACAGTTTCCTCAAATAGAAAACGTACAGGTTGTAGTCGAATACAACCTGTACCCTTTCTATTCGGATTTCGAAAAAAAAAAACTATTGTATTCCGATAAAATTACTTCTTCTTTTTGTTGGAGGTTAACGCCTGCCCTCTTGCTCCCCGCCACTGACATGTTGCATGTTGCAGCTCTCTCTCTCTCTCTCACACACACATACACACACACACACACACACGCACAAGCACACACTCTCTCTGTCTCTCTCTCACACACACACACACACGCACGCACTATCTCTCTCTCTCTCTCTCTCTCTCTCTCTCTCACACACACACACACACACACACACACACACACACTCACATACACACGCATATACATTCTCATGTCTATTGATGGGGAGCGCCACCTGCCGGAAACCAGGTCCAGCGTCCTATGAACATTGTGAATAAAGCACCAACCGGCACCCCACACACACACACTCTTCGAGTTGTGTATAGCGAACATGCCAAAACATACATATAGCATAATCACGACCTTACCCTTCCCGAACCACATAAACAAACGAACTACGGGCTGCGCACCCGTGGCCTCACGGTAAGTCAATCCCTTTGGCATTGTGAAAGGTGTGGGGACAATCGCGATTCTCCCCCCACCTTTTTTATTTCGAGAAAACCTGCGAAACACATTGAATGGCAGTTCGATCCTTTATTGGCACATTGTTGATTGGTTCCTTTTGGCATTGTGAAGGGTGGGGGGACCCTCACCTTTTTTGTTTCGAGAAAATGGGGGAAACGTATTGAATGCCAGTTCGATCCTTGAATGGCAGTTCGATCCTTGATTGACACTTCGCTGACTGGCTCCCTTCAACATTGTATTGTTTCGAGAAAACCGGCGAAGCACGTTGAATGTCAGTTCGATCCTCAATTGGCACTTCGTTGATTGGTTCCATTGACATTGTGAATGGTGGGGAGAGAATCTCGATTCTCCACCCACCTTTTTTTTTTTTAGAAAGTCGGTGAAACATATTGAATGACAACTCGAGTCTTTATTGGAAGTTCGATCCTTGATTGACACTTCGCTGATTGGTTCTCTTCGGCATTGTGAATCACGATTCTCCCCCCACCTTTTTTTTTTCGAGAAAACCAGCGAAACACATTGAATGGCAGTTCGATCCTTGAGTGACACTTCGTTGATTGGTTCCCTTTGGCATTGTTAAAGGTTTGGGGGAGAATCGTTATTCTCCCCCAACCTTAATTTTTCGAGCTTTTGTTTCCGAGAAAACCGGCGCAACACATTGAATGCTAGTTTGATCCTTGATTGGCATTTCGGTTCTTGATTGGCACTTCGTTGATTGGTTCCCTTTGACATTGTCAGAGGGATTCTCCCCCCACCTTTTTTTTCTTCGAGAGAACCGGTAAAATACCTCCATTGACACTCGGATCCGTGACACGATGTATTGCTCGTTGGTTACTGTTGATGAAGCAGAAGCGTTGACTAAGGCTATTGTGCAATGACATCCCACTTATGTCACAACATCGCCCAACGAAGCGGCGGACCTCCATATCCGTTTCAGACCACCATCACGACAGTTCAACACAACCAACCAGCACCCTATCGGGGCCGAGTTCGCCCTCAAGTTCCATTCGAGGTGGCATCCAAAGGTATGATTGGCAAGTCGTTTTTGTTTGTTTGTGTTTGTGTGGTAACCGTTCTAGCTCCAGTTGAGTCCTCCAATGGTCCGACGCCTCGACGGCGCTGGAGCATTTGATGGTCCGGCGTCCTCAAGGCGCCAGGCCCTCCGATGGGCCCGCGTCCTAGAGCAGCCGGACCATTCGATGGTCCGGGGTCCTCGAGCCATCGGAACATCGGATGGCACGACCGTCGGAGGGTCTCGCGGCTCGAGGACGTCGAACAATCTGATGGTCCGGTGGCTCGACGACGCCGGACCATCGGAGGGTCTGGCTCCTTGAGGACGCCGGAGCATCTGACGGTCCGGCGTCCTCAAGGAGCCAGACCCTCCGATGGTCCGGCGTCCTCGAGCCCCCGGACCATCGGATGGCACGCCCATCGAAGGGTCTGGTTGCCCGAACCTCCAATGCTCCGGCACCTCGATGCCGCCATACCATCTTATGGCTGTGCCATCCGATGGTCCGGCGGCTCAAGGACGCCGATGGTCCGATCAGATGGTCCGACGTCCTCGAGGCGCCAGACCCTCCGAGGGTCCGACATCTTTGAGGCGCCATACCCTCCGATGGTCCGGCATCCTCAAGGCGCTAGACCCTCCAATGCCTCGGCGCCTCGACGACACCGGACCAATCTGACTGGACCATCTGATGGTCCAGCGTCCTCGAGCCACCGGACCATAGGATGGCACAACGGTCAGATGGTATGACGTCGTCGAGGCGCCGGAGCATTGGAGGCTTTGGCGCCATGATGACACCAGACCGTCGGAGGGTCTAGCGCCTTAACAACGCCGGACCATCGAAGGGTCTGGCGCCTCGACGACGCCGGACCGTCGGATGGTCCCGTTAGATGGTCCGACGTTGTCGGGGCGCCAGACCCTCCAATGGTCCGGTGGTCCGGCGTCGTCAAGGCGCCAGAACCTCCAATGGTCCGGCGTCGTCGAGGCGCCAGAACCTCCGACGGTCCGGCGTCGTTAAGGCACCAGACCCTCCGATGGTCCGGCGTCGTCAAGGCGCCAGAACCTCCAATGCTCCGGCGCCTCTACGACGCCAGACCATCTGATGGTCGTGCCATTCGATGTTAAGGCGGCCCGAGGACGCCAGGCCACCAGAAGGTCTGGCGGCTCCGAGGACGCCAGACCATCTGATGGTCCGACGTCCTCAAGGCGCCAGACCCTCCGATGGTCTGGCATCCTCGTGGCGCCAGACTCTCCGATGGTCCGGCGTCGTTAAGGCGCCAGACCCTCCAATGGTCCGGCGCCGTTGACAATCTTATGGTCGTGCCATCCGATGACCCGATGGCTCGAGGGCGCCGGACGATCTGCTGGTCCGGCGTCGTTGAGGCGCCAGACCCTTCAATGCTCGGATGCCTCGACGACGCAGGAGCATCTGGTGGTCTGGCGTCCTCAGGGCGCCAGACCCTTCGATGGTCCGCCGCCGTTGAGGCGCCGGACCATTGGCTGGTTCGGCGTACCCACAACATCGCACCCTCAAAAGGTTTGACATCATGAATGTCGCACGGTGTGAGCGACTGTTTCCTGTGCCTGTGCTGAGGACTGACCATCACTTGGTGGGAGCGGTTCTTTTCCGTTGAGGGAATGGGGACATTCGGTTGGTTACATACGTGCCCTGAAGCCTAGGCATGGCGCGATGGGAACGACCCTTTCCCGTTAGGCTGGTAGGGATGTTGGGGTGGCAGCAAGTGATATCTTGTTTACCTGCTGCCATTGTGCTTTTCCTGTGCTGGTGCTGAGAACTAGACATCGCTTGGTAGGAATGCCCCTTTCCCTTTAGAGGAATACGCAGGTTGGGGTGGTCAGATGATTCGTCAACTTACCCATTCCCCATGTTTGCACTTGTAGACGTCCTATTCGTGCCTGGTGCGCATATTGCAGACTATGCTTTATGTAATGGACAACAAGGCACCACCCAGTCCGAACGTTGGTTGGATGTTCCAGTACTAATGAAGATTGGGAGCATGTTGTTGCCATCGGTCCTTGAGGCCTCCCCCCGTCGCCCCCTTCTCCTTACTGTATGTTTGTTTCGTGTATTACGCCGGTGTGGGATGCGATGTTCTGCAGCTGCTTGCTCATCAGGGGTCTCTACACCGAAGGTTGTCGGAAGGGCCGTCACATTCCAAGAGAAGTATTGGGCAATCGATTGGCACCTCGATATGAAAGTCCCCTATTGTGGGCCAGTCGTTTTCTTGCGGGATGAGAGTGGCGGTTACTAACCATGGGGGGGTATCAAGACTTACTCATTTGATAAGAGTATGACTGACGAGGAGTACATGAGATTCCATCTCACAACGTGTTTCGACATTGATGGTCACGAGGTACCTGGCAACTACGAGCTCGTGTCCCTCCATGTCGAGAAGTTCCAAGGTTATGGCATCCACGTTCCGTCAATGCCACCGTTCGGCAAGTCGAAGAAGAAGGATGAGTCGCAGATGGTGCTGCTAAGACCATTGGAGTTCGTCAAACGCGTTAATTGTTATAAAGTGTCGAACCGTATCATGACGATTGACAACATGTTGCAGTTGTCAACTCCCTTCGTGTCGTTCGATTGTGATCTTTAAAACTTCACAAACATAGTGCGATGTCACAAACTCTAGACGATGGGCGAAGCCATTTTTGCGGACTTCTGTGTCTGTCTGCTCGCCAAAGGCGGTAGGCAAGAGTTGTGGGGAGCCGAAAACATCCGCCCAAATGAGAAAAAGCAGGGCCGCATCGACACAGGCAAAGAGCGTGAGAATGTCTGCTGCTCCACTCCAATCGAAGGGTGTGTTTGCAAAACAGTCACAATCACATGCTGAATATGTTGCTCGCATTTCTTTATTTCCAGCTGTTGGGACCACTGACCATGAGGATGACGACGAGAAGACAGAGGAGGACTCGCGCTTCCTGCAGTGGGATGGTGAGCGGTGGGCCGAGGGCAACGACGCAAAAGACACAGAAGGCACGGCGACGAACATCGGTTCTGCGACGGTGCAGAAGATGAAGAGGAGAGCTTAGAGGATGGTTGGGCCCAAGGCGATGGTAGTGAAGGCAAAGAGGATGGTGGTCACGAAAGCAATGAGAGCGAAGAAGAAGAGTGAGGATGCAAGTGACGAGGACGGCGAAGAACGAGAAGACAGTTACGAAGGCGGGAACGAAGGAGATGAGGATGGGGCGAACGACAACGACGGCAGGAAGAGTATTCTCGGACCACAAGCCATCACGACCCGTTAGAAGATGACGGTGTGTTGCATGGCACACAAAGGTCTGTATGCATGCGCACGAGAAAAATGAAAGTTGGGAGAACAGAGAAAGAGAAGCGGAGACAAGCTAAGCTCATCAACCTGCAGCCCTCAAAGGAGGCTTACAAGAAATCCTTCGAGGCCCAATCCGCTAAACCAGCAAAGGAAAAGCGTGAACGCCCTCGATCTTCCCATAGACCAAAGAAGAAAGCACAGGCCGAGGAAACAAAGGAAGTGGCGGACTCTGGGGACGAAGTGGCAGGGGTTGACCCACGACATATAGCATCGAAGCCAGGAGAGTTGACCAACGATATTATCGACACCACGAAATGCTTTTTCCTCGAATACGACGGGGACGACAATGCGATAGATCGGCCTACCCAAATTTCCGTCGACGTCGTCAACATACTGTCCAACCTTTCGGAAAGCGTGCAATAAAATCACAAACCGTTGAACGAGAAGTTTGTCACCTCCATCAGGGACGCAATGGAACGCCCAGAAAAGCAGAAGGAGTGGGGCAGAAACACCTGGATTCTTGCTCAGTCGTACAAGTAGAGAAGGAAGGCTGGAACCAGTGGGAGCGTGTGAAGCCGGAGGAGTGGGATGATGACAAGGTTGCCTCCTACCATTGGTAAATCGTGGTCGGCCAACATACAGCGGAAGGCAACAAAGAGGCTGGTCGTTGCTGGATCGTCTGCTGCCCAGAAGTGGGGCGTGCATTCTTGGAAAGCGTCGGTCGTGTATTTTGACGACGACCATTTGGAGGGGTATGCGTACATCTCCACGTTTGACAACATCAGGGAGACATGTGCTATCCCATCGTCGTTTCGAACGGTTGTGACTGCTATAAGAGGACTGTGGCAGAATATGAAAGAGTCGAAAAGTGATTGGCATCAGGCGAAGACGGTGGATGAAAGGACTGCACAGCGTGACCAATATCAGGAGCTCGTACGGAAAGTTATACGGATGACTCCTGACACCACACTCTGGAACCATTCGTTGGCTAAAAGATTTGTGAGGAATTTATCAAACTTGTTAAGGCCCTATATGTGTCTCGCGGCGAGCGGTAAGGTGGTGTGGAATCTGGTTGAGAAGTTCTTTGACAAATGGGAGAAAGGGGAACTGCCTAGGCAGGACGACGTCAGACCAGTGGATTAGGAAGCGAAGCAGGCGAGGCGGCAGGACCAGGCCCTGCTACGAAGACCGTGAAAGGCAAAAAAATGTTGATGCACTACGTCCCGTCCAAGAAAAGCTCGTCAGGTTTCTATGTTTGCATCAATGATCCCCCAGCAAGCGCATGGAAGGTGTTCAGCGATTTCATGTCAAGGGAGAAGGAGATGGCCCTCGAGAAAATACTTGTGGGACACGTTGTCGTCACGAGCGGAAGGGCATTCGTGAAAAAACTGATGAATATGCAAGACCTATACGTGGAGGTGAGAAGGGAAAAATATATGGTACGCACATTTAACTATGTCCTGTTCAAGACAGAGCATAGGTCACAGGAGGAGTGGAATGCTACGAATCCCCCTCGGCGGTGGCCATCTGCGGACAATTCCGCGGCCGCAGCCCAGGCCGCGACCCCGCGGATGTGTCCGCGCAGCCGCGCGACTTTGCGGCCGCATGACGGCCAGTGGGGAAGGGGATTTGGGAAGTGCCATGGGGCGGCACAACCCCAACCCCACCCCCTCAAAAAAAAAAAAAAAAAAAACTAATTTTTCGTTGATTGATTGATTGATTGATTGATTGATTGATTGGCCCCACATGCGCACACACACACACACACACACACACACACACACACACACACACACACTCACACACACAGGTAGGATTATATATTTTCATGTTATAGCGAAAGATTCATTTTATTTTGCTTTTTTTCTTTTTCGTTGATTGATTGATTGATTGATTGATTGATTGATTGATTGGTGGGGGGGGGGTCACCCCCCACCCCCAACAGGCCCCCCCACACACACACAACGCAGTATTGTATATTTCCATGTTCTAGCGGAAGATTCATTCGATTTTGCTTTTTTTTTTCTTTCGTTGATTGATTGATTGATTGATTGAGTGGTGGGGAGGGGTCGCCCCACCCCCCCGCCACCCACC